CACCCGCCCACCTTAGCCCATGTTGTCGAGAGCAAGTGCGAGTGATGTCAATAATCCCAGGCGTGGCCCCCAGCGTGACAATCAGCATGTTTGCGGAGATGCCGTCTTTGTGTGGCTTTGTTGTCTCGTCGTGATTAACGCCACCGACAATATTTCTGCCGCTGTGACTCAGAGCTAGCTTTATCAAAGCAGCTCATACTTGCACTGAGCTACTTATCTTCCTGACACTGATTACCTCTCATTACTGTTCAGTCCTAACAGTCGATGCGCGCGTAATGCTCGCTTTCCCGTACAAAAGCAAGATTTGTCAATCTTTTAGATTTCACTTAAAGGTGACTGGGCGGCACAGTCAGTTACAGATGTGTCGTTTTTGTACTAAAGCTACTTTCGGCTGCTCCTTTCTTGTTTTTACACCGGATGCGATCCCAAAGTTTGCGTCTCCTCCCAGGATTTAATCGGGGATCTTTCGCTTGCTCGGCTAATTTGTAACCCACTGCACTATGGAGCCACACAGTTTGGTGTAGCACCGTAGACGAACTTGCACAGCAGCTACTCTTAAAAACCCCATGACTCAGTGGCACACAATAGTAACTTGAAGTAGTAGCTTGCTCCCTCACATTGTTGCACAGGAATCTTTGGCCCACAGCGCTGCTTTAGTTCATTGAGGCCATGCACAGCTCTCTTTAAGGTCCCACCAGTGCACTTTAAACGGGTTGACATCTGGACTTTGATCGGGCCATTGCAACATGCGGATTCTTTTCTTTTTCAGCCATTCTGTGGAACAGTCAACAGCTTTTACCACTTTATGTTGTCTGTTAGAGGCAGATTTCGCCTCCAACAGATGTTATAGAAAAGCAGTGAATGGCTGTTGCTTTGATTAGTTTAGTTTGTTTTTTGCGAGGTAGATATGAGAGGATTCAGTATTGCATATAGTTTAGTTTAGCATCAGGGAAACTGATAACTTTTTATATCGTGTTCAAATTTAGAAAAATGTCACTTTTCCTGCATCCGATCCTTGATTCCAAAGAAAATTGTGTCTTTTTATGCAGCGCCGTCATTCTGGACGGGAAGATCTACGCCACGGGAGGCATCGTGAGCAGCGAGGGTCCAGCCCTCGGCAGCATGGAGACATTTGACCCTTGCACCAACACTTGGACACTCTTGCAGTCACTGCCCTGCCCGCTCTTCAGACACGGCTGTGTGGTCATCAAAAAGTATATCCAGAGTGGCTGAGGGTGGCTCGGAGCGGGTCGCACTGGGTCAACGCTTAACACCAGCTGAGCTCCAGTTGTGGGACGACGTGTGACAGCAGCTTCGAGACGGGCCGATCGCTCGCTCGGTCTGCCGGCGACCTCTGGACTTGACGCCAGCATTCATCCACACTGTTGCCCCACATCTGAAGATAAAGTCAAATAAAAACGCCCTGTGCAGAATGTACTCATGTTTAACTACTCAGCCATGTCAGGTGACGATTCCCAACCTCCAGTACTGTATGTGTCATGGTAGTAGTTCATTCTCTGTCATCAAACAGGCACAGGGTCCCTTTTAGTAATTTGAAAACTCCAGGGTTTTTAAATGAAGTCTGTTTCCCCCCCTCTCTGGTACTGCCTTTTGTTTTTTGTTTTCAGTGCATATCTCTGTAAACTCAACACCTTCTTCATTTCCTTTCATATAATCTGACTCAGCTGAAAGCCATTGCAGGTCCAGATTCGTGTCCCTTTGAGTAAATCACACGTTAACAGGCGTAGGTTTCGTAGTCATGCATTTGTGAAAGTTTTTGTGGCATACGAACGTTTTTCCAGTAGCGACATGTGAAGGACAGGAGGGAAAAGCGAAGGGAAGCGACCGTTTTCCTCTTTATCAGTGGATCCGATGAGTTTCTTTCTCCACTGCAACCAGAAGCAAAGTTCCAACTGTGTAGATTTATAGGGTAACTTTAAATCCAGATTCTGAACTCTGTGTAACCTGGGCCTTTTTAATGGCTCTCTAAACATTGGAAAAAACTATCAAATCGGGGTCAGGTTGGGTTTAAAAAGAGATTTCTTCCCCCCCTTCTTTGTTCTTGTACAATTCCAGTCTGATTGAGATATCATCTGGAGGGTGAGTGGCTTTTTTTCCTCCCTTTATTCACACTGACTTGCTCTCTGGGACAAAGAAAGCACCACACTGAGAGAGAGAAAGCGGGAATTCCTTCTTCCGCTGGCGTCTGATCAGATTCAAGTTGGGACAATTCCTCCGGAAAAAAAAAAGCACAATATTCACCCGCGACTGTTATCATAGATGTTATCTGTTTATCCATGTTTCTTCTGTGTTTCAAGTTCCTCCTTCCCAAATCCGCTTGTTTTATACAATGTTTCATTGCAACCCGCAAATTATGTCGGGTTGGTATTCTGTAAATACAGCGAGGAAATATGTATATTTTAAAACCTGAAGGCAATTCTGTATAAATGTTTTTAGAAAAAAAATGGATAGGCTGAATTGAAAATGGTACGTCTGTAAATCTGTACCCAAAAAGGAAAACTTAACAATTGTTATTATTGAAACCTAATACATATACCAGAATATGAACACATTGTCAAGTCTGTTTTTTATTGTTGTCCAGTTTAATCAACACTTTAATCAGGGCTCTTAATGCAACAACTGTGAATAGACTTATTAACCTTATTCTGAAAAATCCGTGGCCTGCTTTTTAGTACGGCTTCATCGTTCTACCAAACTGACTGTATATAAAAGAGCCACAGCCGGCGCGAGGTCACACACTGGTTTGTAATCAACAAATGTGGAACTGCCTTCTATCGGAAGGCCACCAGATGGCGATAGCTGCGGTTGTAAAAAAAAAAGAAAAAAAAAAGATTGCGAGTGTCAAGACCATTAACTGTAGAAAACATGGACGACGCGACCCGTCTCCTACCATTGTGCAAAAATGAAGCCAAAATACCCCGCTTGTGGAGGCTGCCATCTTGCAAATTTGGAGCCAGAGTCTGCGCAGTAGTGACTTGAGGTGGAGCGACTGTGTAACGCTCCCGCCCACACACCCGCTGGACGTGACCGCAAACACGCCCCCCTACACTTTTTACGTAGCCTGGCTGCTCGAGTTTTTTTG